AATAAATGAGGTTCCTTGCTCCAGTTACAGCAACAGCCATAGAGCTTCAAAGAGGTCACAGGTGTGGAAATTGGAGGACTCTTAATGGAGACTGAGATAAAAAGGGATTCTCTAAAGCCTTGGATGTAAGTTTCTGATCTGAAGAGTGGTGAGTAATACAATTGCTAGGAGGTATCTTTGGCTTTGCCTGGAGCATGCTAACAAGCAATCAAAATGCTTGCCCACAGCCAAACTGTTCTTTCCCTTTCCACTCTTTAGAATAATAAAAGCATTACACACAAACCCCACTGTTAATGCAACATGTGGGTGAAGTTCCAGGCTATTGTGTATAAAACTCTCAGTCTTAATTCCAGCAGTAATTATAACTTGTTCCTCTCTCCCCTGTTGTATGGTGACACTGCAGGAAGTGATGCAAAGTTCTCTGTTTGTGCATGTGTTAACTTAGGCTGAGTGTAGGAACAGAGTCTATCTAATCTCTTGGTTTTTTTCTTTGCCTGTCAAAGTCTCAGCTGTAATACTGTGCAATTGGAAACTTTTCACATTTAACTTCAATGTTTTGTCTGTCTTCCGTTCTGTTAGGAGCTGGTTCTACTGCTCGTGGATATTTTGCTGCTTTTCTGTTTATAATGCAATCTGACATTTGTTTTTCTCTTTCTCTTGAGGCTGATTTTGTTCAAATTAGAGATTTCCTTGGAACACATGTTTTCTCATTTTCTAGTCTGCAGTTTTTGAGGCCCTCAGCAGTTTAGGCTATGAGGTCCTGCCCTTGTCTATACTTGATAGAAAAAGCATAGTAAATACCACTAAAAATTCATCATTTGCTGCCAGCTATCTGTGGTAACGTTGATATCTCCTGTTTGAACAGAAGGGATCCAGCAATTATTGCTGAATATAAAAGAGTTTTTAGCGTTGCCTTTGTACGCAGGGTGTGAGAAAGTCCAAGGCTTTTTATTTATGCTGGTATATTACACCATATAATTGCATCCATCTTTTGATCTGTGGTATGAATTAGTTCCATTGAAAACATGTTTTCTATTTTTAAATCGGTTGTCTTGAACTGAGTTCTTGAAACATTCTGCTTTTTGGTCTTGTTTTTGTGTAGATTTTCCATATTGTGCTGGGTTTAATATAATTGTTGACATGATGGTTTTGAGGTTTTTTTTCTTTACTGTCTTTTTCTCTATTTTGTATAAATCTCTTGATGTTTTATGTTACAGTGTTGTGTTTATCCAGATTGAGTATGTAAGTTATCTCATAATATCTGAGCATCTCACTGTTTGGAAACGTGCGATGATGAAGTGCTGTTAGCCAGTGTTAGAAAGGGAGAGCGGAGATTTAGAGGCCTTAAGTGCTGTGTTTCTGTTCTTGACTTGACTGAACAGTCTGTGTTCAGCTATGGCTAGACTGGAAGCCCAGGGCTCCATCCATGGTCAGTAGGTACAGATAAACATTTCCTTGAAACTCGGATCATAGGTGGGATGATCTCTGCAGGACCTTGTATTTCTCCACTGATCAGCAGCTGAGTCTAAATTTTGAACTTGAGTGTGTAAATTGCAAATCTGAGGTTAAATGGGATTACTGAGGCCCAAGTGACTCTTCCAAGGAGTGTCATATTCTCCTTGTCTTTTCTGTGGCTCTTGTGATGCTCACAAAAAATGTGAGCTGTGCTACTAGCAAGCTAAGGCTGCTGTCCCTATACCTGAGTAGCACTGCAGTGTTTCCTTGTGTTCCCCAACCCAAACTCATTTGCCATTCTCTTTTATTATGCTTGATGTCTGGTCTGTACAGCAGCTTCTGTGGTAGAGCCCTGGTCTGCGACGAGGGGTCCTCTGTGTCATAGAAGTAGTAAACAAAATGGCACATATCAAGTTTGGCAGAGCAGGAGAATGCCAGAAATTCCAAGCATTTGTTTCATGCCCCATCTGTTAGATGGTCCTCCTTGAGTTAAGACCTTTGCCTTGTCCTTCCCATGGTTGTAATGGGTGTTGAGAGTGCATTTGTGCATGCATTTTTCTTCCTTTGCAGTGGTTCTGCTTGGGGTGTGTGCTTGCTGGGTTTTTTTAATCAGTTCATGTTGATTCTTATCGTGTGTTTGTATAATAGTTTGGGGTTGATGTAATCATTGTTACATGTATTTCATTAAGAGATGTATGTGTGTGTGTACTTAGGTGTTTGCATAATTCATGAAGTCAAGTATGTTCACATACCCCTTGTTAGCACATGAGTGCATGTAGTAAGTACGTACTTCTCTTCTTTGTATCAGTAGTTCATTGGGAATGGTGCACTGTATTTATTTGGCATGTATGTATGTAAAAAACCCACAAGCTCTACCATTTATTTTCTTTCTTCTACACCCACCCTAAAAACGTAAGGAAAAACACACACTTCTGCTAGGGTTCTAGGATAGTTTATTTTTTCATTCAGCCATTAGTTTATTCGTTCAGGAGTTGTACACTGGGAAAAAAGTGCATCCATTAGACAGTGAGGGCTTTATTTATGAGGGGGGTGGTGTTTCAAAGGGGAGGCTGTCAAGTCCCAAAAGAGCCTTTCATGGTGTATTCTCAGCGTGCTTCTGAGGCCACTGCTCTGCTCATCAGGAGGAGAGGCAGAAATGTGGGCTTTACAGAGCAACTGTGTGTTTCACTGGTCCCTGCGCTCACTGACGTTTATTTACATATTGGGAGAGTAAATGGGTAGAACAGATGGCAACCAGACATTTGGTGGTTCTGTTCCCGTATGCTCCTCAGGGGTCTTGCATTCAGTTTTTGCAAAAACCTTGTCCTATAGTGAGGAAAAAAAACCCAGGAGCCTGTTCACAACTATGAAACGCTTGTTGGGTTTTTGCTATAGTGACAGATTAAAGCATTTAGTAAAATGTGGAATAATTACAAGGTTTGTTTTACAAGTCCACATACTTGTTCCTTAGGATAACTCCATTGGTATGTCTGTCTCTCTTTTTGTTATTATTTCTTATTTTCACCACTGGAGAATTTAGATTTGAAGCTGGCAATCTCTTCCTTCTACAAACTGAGTTTGAAAAGTACAAGTCTATTTATATGGGTCTTGGATACCTTTTGGCCTTTTCTGCAAATACTGTAACTCATTTGTACTCTTGTAAAAACAGAATATCTGAAAATTTTGCAGGATTTTCCAAGATATTTAATATGTGTTTCTTCACTATTTACAGTTATGAAGCGGGAGATTTACTTCCATACCAAGTTGAATTTTTTTCTTGCTTTCTTTGTACATGCTGGAATGCTGGAGCAGGGCTGCTCCAGAGTGCTAGGCAGCTTGCTTTAGTGGTTTGGGTTGTTCTGGGTTTTTTTCCAATGTGTGCGTGTTACTTGTTTTAGAGAAGTGATAATTGAAGCACTTCTCCTGGGCAAAACCGTAATATAAAATACACATTTTGAAAATATGTTAAAAGGGGAGCTGCAAGTCAGGTTTTGAATGTGTAAAATTTTCAACCTGCACATTGTTCCTTCTTGTAAAGCAGCCAGGTGTTTCTCAGTAAAGTGGGGAGAAATCAAGTGAAAATTGAAGAGCTTGACCTTTTGCACAGCATGCCAAATCAGCAGCTCTAACAGTTTGTGACATGATGAATTCCAATGACTTATTGATAAACACATGAAACTGCCTAGCATTTGTAGGAGAACCTGTCAAATAATGTAAATACCAGACCTCAGTTAGTCTCACCTACAATGTGGAATCTCCTAGTATTAGATAAAGTCTGTAAAGCAAACCTTTCTATAATAAACCTTTCTGTGATAAAAGGTCAATGCTGAACTAGTTCACTTTGAACTAAGATAGTTTTCAAAAGTAAAAGTAGAATTACTGATCCTCCCTCAGTTAATTGACTCAGATTTTACCAAGTATTTTCTAGTGCCCTTCTTATTAAATAATGTCTTTTAAAAAGACAAAACTAGGAAGCCATGCCACGCTCTGTAGGGAGGCTTACCCATAGTAAATGGTAGCACAGAAAGTGAAAACAGTAAATGTCAAGAAAGAAACACCTCTTCTTGAGACACGTTTAGAAGGTTGATCATTAATAAAGTAGAAACTTGCTACTTTTCTGTAGGCCATGCTGCACAAATATTATATTAGGATTATTTTAAATGAAGATAATTGCCGAACTAGTAGATTTTTGGCAGTATTTTCCACAACCCACTTGAAATCCAGAAAATTGTTTCTAAGTAAGAGTTTTTAGCCAGAGTATATTGATAGTGGGCATGGTTAATGAAGCTGCTACGTCTCACTCAATATGTGACAATGTTTCTGTGATATATGCAGCAGTTCTCTTAAATACTTTGTAGGGCACTTTGGAATCCTTTGAGATCAAAATTAAATACAAGCCTGTTATTAAATAGGACCTAACTTCCTCCTTTTTTTTTTTCAATATGGGGTATTGCTGGTTTTAGGAAATGTATTTCTAAACTGAGCCCACCATCGCAGTGCAATTACCGAGTAAATCACATCCTAGATAGTCTTTGCTTTTTTTCCCCCCTCATAAAATAACATAGTTTAAATATCTTTTCCAGTGGTTGTAGCCAGATGCAAAGTCAGCTAAAAAAGATTTCTTCAGAAAGATTTCTTTTCTGTATCATTATGTAACTAAAAGTAGCTGTTGTAAATACTGCAGAATGTCATGGCAGTCTTGAAAGCCATGGCTTCTGTGTCCTGGTTCCTTCCCTTAGGAGAAGATGATGGCAGTTTAGATGGTCACGTATTCTTTATGGTCCAGAGCTGGATAAGCATTACCCAAATAACTAATTCAGTAACAGCAGAACTCAAGAAAAGTGAACTGGTAAAAACCAGTAACTGTTTTTGGCAGAGTATGGCAGACCCTGTGTTTTCTAAACTAAAAAAGAGGGGAAAAAAAAAAAAAAAAAGAAAAAAAGAAAAAAAGTTATGGGTGTATTTGTTGTTGAGCCCTCAAGTGCTAATCCATATGTGGTCATTTGTATCTCTGAAGGGTTTGGGTTTTTTTTCTTCTTTGACAGACTGATGTCTTGGTGTTGAGCTGCGATCTGATCACAGATGTTGATTTGTATAAAGTTGTGGATCTCTTTCGGACACATGATGCTACTCTCTCCATGTTGATGAAGAAAACTCATGAACCCACAGAAGTGGCACCAGGACAGAAAGGGAAAAAAAAACCAGGTATGTAGATAGGAATACATATATTTACTTATTAATAAATGATAGAGAAACCCCTGGTATGTATGATATGTTTAGTTATCAATCCCAGAGCGAAAGAAATGAAAAAGGTACAGATACCCTATTTTTCATCAGATTCCATGGTGGGGGGTGTGACTTGTTTTTTTCCAGCTCAGAATTAAGTATTAGACTCATGTAATCTTGCAGGCTCTGATCCAAAGCTCACAAGAGCTAAGGGAAAAGCTCCAGGTGACTTCAGTGAGTTTTGGATCAAACCCTAAATTTTTGTTACATATGAACATTAAAACCGTTAGGTTTTTTCAAGAACGCTAAGCACCAGCCAGAGTATAGCTGGGAATTTTACCATTGACGGTAGAGACCAGCATTAGATGGGTAACAAATACTTCTAGAAATTCTCCCCTCTCATGGTATGTACTGAATTACTCTTCTGAGATCACATCTAGGAGCCTTTTGCTAGGCAAAACTCCCACTGATTTCAAGGACTTGGTTAGATGCTTATCTTGTCCCTTTTACCATAATATCTTAGTTAGTGCCTTGCAATCTTTAATGTATCTATTCTCACAACACTGCTGTAAGGCAGGGCAGGGCTATTATCCCCGTTTTACTTACATGCTAAAAGTACTAAATACCATACAGTTGTTCCCATACCATACCTCTCATTTTCTTTTAATGATATCAGTTAAATTCCTGAGGCTTGATTATGACCAGCTTAGTGGGTCCTGGTCCATGATTAAAGCTCAGGGGCACTACAGTAATACGAATAAGAAAGCGTAGCTTCAAACTCTTTGAAAGAGGAGTGAAATGCAAGCCAACAGTTGGACTACGTGTGTGTCTGGAAGTGGAGGAAATGTGTTTTTAAAAGAAAGCTGCTTAGACTCTGCATGAAAAGATTTTTATGGAGCAAAGTGTAAGGATGATAGGCCTGAAAGCATTTAGGACTTGGACTCTCAAACAGCTCTAAACCCCCTGTTTTTGAAAAGGCAATCTAAGTGATAACGGCACATAAAACATTGTCAAGAGCACTACTACAGCCACAGAGTTGAGCATTCAGGAGTTATAAACTAATGGGTCTATGGTTAAACATCATAGAGCTGCCCAGTACGTGAGCTCTGAGCGCACAGGGCGGGGGCGAGGAGGTCTATGAGGATAAACAAGATCATCTGAAGACTCTTCGCAAGTGTAAACACATCAGGTTGCACGTGCATTCTTAATTTGCTTGTTTTTTAATGTCTGTGTGCTTGACTTTGTAGCATTACTCTTTCTAAATGACTTGTTAAAATTTGTGCATGATTTCTCAGATCTGTAAAAGACCAAACTTGAAAACGTTAAAATTCCATCATATGCAAGTGTTTTGACACCCACAGTGTTTTTCTGTGGGGCTGAATGCTAAGGTCTCCCACTCAAAGCTACTCTACTTGAGCTATCATGGATAGCTCTAGTAAGTTGTCCCATCCCCTGTTCCACTTCTGACTTCTCATCTTGACCTGCTTCATTTATTTACCCATAGTCACCTTTTTTCTTCTCTTCTGATTCCTGTCTCTGTGGTGCGGTGTCCTTTCACGGATAGTCCCAATTTCCACCAGTTTTCAGGGACTACTTTGTCTCCCTTCCAGCCCGTCTTGCAGAGTCATTTTTATGCTTTTCTCTCCCCTCACCCTTGTGAGCTTATAAGTTTTATTCCCTTGTAAAAAATAGGTTGCAAAAACACAACAGATCAAGCTCTTTCCACTAGAGCAGTCATCACAGCATGGCTGTGGAGCCTCGTGGCTTGTGTGCTTTGCTTGCACCACGTGATGGTACAGAAGACCTTAGATGGCACCTGCTATTTGATCAGTTCTAGGACCTGAGGAATTGAAACAACCTTTCCTTAAGAATAAAATATGCGGAAATTTTTGCAGCAGAAATAGAAGTCTTGAAAGAGCACGTGAAACTGCAGTTTTTCAAAGATTTATAATGGAGTCAGATGGCAAAAAGTACACTCCTGATACACAGGTCAGCAGCACTTGCTGAATGTCATACTGCTTCTCCGAAGAACTGCAATACCAGAGCTTGTCAAGAGAAAGGCCACCTAACCTTTTAAGCTTAGGCTAACCACTTTTTTTTTAATTTAGCCTTAGAAGAAGCTGAACTGTTTTTGCTGGTTTTCCAAATGTTCCTCTTAAGGCAGGCACCTGGCATTGGAAATTTCATCCCAAACAGTTAAAATTTGATGAAACTTACAAGCAACTGAAGACAAGATATTAACATGGAATGTGTCAGGCAGCTTTTCATAGTATGTGGCACTGTTAGCTCCTTCTCTAAATCGTGACACGTACATGTTTCTATGTACTTGCGCTATGTACTTGCACTGTTCAAGTGTTAGTATTAGGAAATGGATCTTTAGTCCTGATGAGCCACTAGATATATTTGCAGCTTTATCTATGGTTTCACTGTTCCTACAAATTCATTCATTTTTTGAGAAGGAGCAACACGACTTTTATTTTGCATATGTCATGGAATCCGATACAAGGTCATTGCTTTTGGGATATTATTGAGCATTCAAGAAATGTGATATAAGGAACAGTTTTTAAATTAGCATGAATTGCAGTGTTAAGCAGCTATAAATTCATACTGATGGTTTCCTGAAATGCTTGACATAACTCAGCTGCAAGTTACAGGGTGAAGTTCATTGACTTTTATGTTTAGGGGATTATATATTGACAACAATAATCTCATTGGCTTTTTTAAATTGATCAATAAGAGGCATGGCAATAAAAAAAAAAAAGCAGAGTGCTAGTGAATGGTAGTAACTCAAATAAACAGAGTGTGTCAGGAATTCGGACACCCAGAATGGAGCCATGTGCTTAAAGATGACCTGCAAGGGATTGAGTGGAAAAGAGTGTCTGAACCTTTCTGTGTATAAAGAAAGGCAGAAAAGATGGGGATGGTGACTCTTTCCTGCTTGTTTTTCTTGTCTTGAAAGCAGCAGGCATGTCATCACTGGTATTCCCTGTGTTTGCCAGAAGACCTCTTGGTGGTCTTGCAGGCTGCATCGTGTGAATTCTCTCCCTTTAATTGAAAGGGTGGGGATACTGAATCTTTAACAAAGGTGTCTTTTTCCCAAGTGTCAATTAATTATGTTTGATTAAAAAGCATTTTAGAAAATCTGACTGAAAATTATTTCTTCTCATCACTGAATTGCTCAGCTTCCATTCTCTTGTGATGTCATGATTTCTTTAGGTCATTAAAGCCCTCAAAATTGATGGGGATCTAATTTCTACGGTAATTAATAAATTGCAATAACTGTGTCAAATCCTTATTTATCTATCACAAGGAGGCAAAACACATCCTGCATTACATTTTTATACTTTAAACGATTTTTTAGTTACCATCACTGCAGCTTTAACATTTTCCTCATACTTTCCTTGCAGGGATTTTATAAACTAGTTATATATTCATTCTTCCTTTTTTTTTTCCCCCTTATTAAGTAATGCCAGTGTGATTTGAAACAGCACTCTTGTTATCTCTGGGTAATTGATTTTAGTAATAACTTTTGTCTTTTCTAAGTTACAAAAGAAATGCTATTTATTGCCAGTATACAGGGAAAAACCTAACCTGACCTGGCATCTGCTACTAAAAAAAATATAGTGCTCTCACATGGTTTCACTGTCTGTTTCTTACCTATGACACAAGCAAGAGAAACCGGTTTGGTGGCAGTCATGTACCTGGTCCCATTTTCATCAAGTTTTTTTTTTCCCTTTTTCTTATTGCATAGAGCTTTGCGATAGCAGTGTAATATGCTACTGTAGGAATGGTCAGGAGATGGTCAGCCACAGAGAAGTGCTGGTACCTTGATGGAGGAAAATCTGTCACTGTTGTGTTTCTAGCCTGTCAGGAGACCCCAGTTAGGTGGCAGTGGTGATGGTTGGTTAGCCCCTACTCTCAAACTTCATTGCCCTCCTTAGCATGAGAATCAGCACTGCTTTCAAGACTTATTTCTGAGTTTTTACAGCAAGTGAGCTTATCCTAATTGTACTTAATTTGTAATAATGTTACATGTTCAGGCCTATTTTTGTACTACTTTGCTGTATGATTCATTTCTGAGAGGGGATGGGGGAGACTTCTGAAAAGGGTATGCTTCATCACTTGGATCAAAGGCTGCCAGTAGGAGAACTTTCAACAGCTGCGTAGATTTGACTGTATTTTGGTAGTGGTTATTGCTGTGGTAACTCTGAAGGAACAGATAAAAGGAAAATAAGGGATAGGGCTGAACTGGGGAAAATAGGGTTAAAAATAGTTTGGCTGAGAAAAGACCTAGAGAATTAACTACTTATAGAGCATGCTGTCATTCCAGTGTAGTTAAAGGTTTCAAACTTGGGAGACTGAATATTTGCCAGTTTGGCCCAAAATAATAGTACTTAGTGGGAGAAAAGAGATTTTTGTTAGAACTGTACCATGGCATTCTTGTACAGCCTGTGTTCCTGTAAAGATCAGTGTATGGTTGCCACCAGAGTGATGGAACATACAATGTGCCAGTTAGAATACACTGCCACCACCGTATTCAGACGTTGTCGAAAACTGTTCAGAAATAAATGCTTTACATTTCAGTACACCAAAGTCACTGTTGATGCACAGTCACTGATTGCAGGAGATGGGAATTGCCACAATAATAGATGCGACTGTTAGGTATTCTCTTGGTTGGCAGTTTTATAAATAGATATTTAAACCAAGTTAACCCACCCAGAAACATCAATGGTAGGAGTCTTAGAATCTATACTTTTATGTGTGTTTGTGTATGTGATTTAGGTTTTCTATTGCTATCAGTATTAATCTGAAATAAGAGATCAGTTGCAAAGTAGTTATGTCTTAACTGAAATCATAATCCTCTCCAGACCACCAAATTCTAATGTGGAGTGATTTATGAGGAAGAAGCAGTTGGATTTTGAAGAACTCTCTGCTTGCCTTGGGTTTGTTGTGTAAATTCAGGTAGCAGGGTTTTTTTTTATTATTTAAAAAAAAAAAAAAGGGAGAAGGAAAGTACAGCTCAAGATGGAGTGTCGCATGTCAGGACTTGTAGTTGGCATCTTCATAAAAAGGATGCAAAAACCTTGCAGGGCCAGTGTTTTGAATGTCATGATATATATCAGCTACCCTGACTGAAAAGAAGTTAATAAATATTCTGGATAACTTTTGCAAATTCATTGATTTGCTCGGTTAGTCTGAAACCTAGTATTTCATTTTTTGGGGGTGGTTGGTGGTCCCATTTATCTTTGCATCCTGCATTAAGACTGGATTATATAATGATTGTGTTTGATTTTCTACTTCAGTGGAGCAGCGCGACTTCATTGGAGTGGACGACACAGGAAAAAGATTGCTCTTCATGGCTAATGAAGCTGACTTGGATGAAGAACTTGTCATTAAAAGATCCATCCTTCAGAAGTAAGCTTACAAGTCCTTGTAATAGAAACTGAACCTGGGATGGGGGAAAACAACTGTGGACTAGGAGTGATGGTTAAAGACAAAGTAGGATGAGAAGGGAAGAGGAAAAGCAGCTTTTGCAATATTCAGGGAGCAGTATTTTATTATTCATTACATCATTACAAGAAGTTGATAGGCTTGTCTGATACCTTTGTTGTGGAAGAATTCCAGGGGAAAAAAAGGAATGGTGAAAAGGTAACTCTCCTTGAAATGAAGCCGGTATCGCTATAGTTCAGATACAGATTAAATTCAGAGATTCAGAAGTGGTAGACCTATGTCCGTAAATGAAATGCTAGTCTCGTTGGCTGAGTCCCAGATGGATTTACAGAGTATCTGAGAGAGGCTCTCGGGATTTCACAACACCCTTGTGCATATAAGACACAAAACCTCAGCTGTGTTTCCAGGCCCCGAAAGATTCATTAGAGAATCCATGTTATATCCACCATTAAACTGCACTGGGGACTTGGATGAATTTATTAAATACATCAGACTAGCTGAGCTTCCTGCACATAATTCATATCCATTAGTAGAAGAATGAAAGATGGTTTGTTGCTCTTTACGCTCTTCTGTACAGTAATTTTAGTTTTCTTGGACACACATTGTCTGACATTTTCTGAGGAAAGCTCTGCTGGCTCCTTCAGACCCAGCCTTTGTACTCTGTCCCAGGCTGACAGTCAGATTTTCACCTCTGTGAGATGAGACACCTGTGGGGCAGCCATCTGAGAGCTGGGAAATTCATCCATGTGGACCTTGTAAGTCAAGGATGCGGACATCTGGGGTCTGCTCCCAGATAATCTTTTCCGTGAAAATGCCTCTGGTGTGTGCTGTGGACCGCAGCTAGGTGTAATCTTTCCTTGAACATGCGAAATGTTCAGGGAGGTGCAAGGGAGGTGCTGTATGCCCATGGAAAGATGACTCCTCTTCTGCCTTGAGTGTAAGGATTACCCTAGAAGGAAGGTGGTCAAGAGTGAGCCATGTGTTAACTGCTGTGATGGAAAGAGCCTGTCCCAGTGTGTTCCCACTGGCTCTCTCCTGGGTTTTTCTTGGATGTGGCAGGGACCAAGCTGCAGGCAAGCCTTCTGTACATACACAGCAGCTGATCTGTATAGCGTAGGAAATTCAGCACTGTTGCATTCTGTGTTTTTGAGCAAACAAAGACTAATAGATCTATTTTGGGCTAGGGAGGAATATTTTATCTACTGTTAATGATAGGCTTGTCTTTATGGCTTTCTCCTAGCACTAGCGAGTGGCTGTGATACGACGACTTAGAAATTGCTGTAACATGTGTGATCTTAGTTGACCTCTGATTTTACAGGTTCATCTAACCAGAGGATTCTCATTCCTGTTACCCTATAGCTAAATTAATCAGGCTTTATCCTGCAGGCAAAACTTTGCTTTCAGGAACACCTGTTCGGATACATTGTCTTCAGCAGATCTTCTTGAGCATGACTGTTTGGGATTTGGTAAATGTAGTGTTGGTGATATACAGATGGGTTAAAAATCTGTCTGTCTCCCTGTCTTTCTTACATTTCCATATGGACGGCTATCAAAGCTAACATAAAGTGTTAACCACCCTCCAAGTAAAGCCCACAGATGATAGGATGCACAAAGAGAGAAGATCTGCTAAGTGTTAAAAAGAAGAAAAAAAAAATTAAGAAAAGGATGCTCTCAAGCATCAGGCAGAAGTATTGGGTCAGTATCCACCTGGGTGAGCTTCTGACTTCTGAAACTGCCTGCTGTGGATGCTCATGCGCTCTCTCTGTTTTACAGCTGCCATCTTGGAGCAGTTCTGAGGGAAGCAAAATAGTATATGGAAATTGTCAAATATTTTCATATGAGGCAATTCCAGGGTAACAACAACTGTGGGAGCTCTAGAAAGACAAAGTGTTGGCAGCTAATGATGTTTTAACCACTGTGTTGTCTAGACCTGCTCAAACCCTGACTTTCTCATGTGAGAAACAAAAGTGACGCTTAAAACCATCTTTGAAGTCTTTTTCTTTAATACATCATAGTAAAGCAAGGGGGGGGAGGGGGGGGAAGAGCAAGCCCAATCTCGTTTTTCTTCATGGATCACTTGAAGTGGCTGACTTTCAGCTACCATGTTGGCCGATTCTTGATCTCTGGACATTGTTTTGATGAAATAACAGACTTTGTGGCAAGATGGGAGAGTTTCCAGTACACTCATTCATTCCTCTGTAGAATACAATAGACATCTTGAGGGTGTTGCTTTTGTTTGTTTTGCTTTTAATGGTCCCTTTGAAGGGCTATGGTGGTCTTGTTACATGAACTCTAGAACTCCTTCAGCGCTTTTGCTCTTCAGATCCTTTTCTTTTTCTATTTTCTTTTTTCTCTCCCTTTTTAAGGAGGCGAGTGGAAGGAGAGACAGGGAGGGAGTGGTAAAAGGAATGGGAAGAGGGAAGATGAACGTTTCTTTAAAGCTAGGAATCTTGTTACTAGTAAAAATCTAGATCCCATATAGAAATAGTTCAAAGGACCTTTGGCTTCCCCTCCTCACAGGAGGGAAGTTGTGTTGACAAAACATCCAAAGTTGTAGAACGCTAATTTAAATCCTTGAAGAAAAACCTTTTTCCTGACCTTTGCCTTCTTCCTATCATTGGATTTCACGCTTTTCACTTTTCTGCCATAAAAGAGCAGCTGGTGGGGAGGAACAGGGGAAAACACACATTCTCCTGAGTACCTGTTGAGTATTAAATATTTATTTGCTCTTGACTCAGGCATTTTGTAATAACAAAAGTGTTACAGAATGAAAGATTTTAATAGGATTTCTAAGTTCATGTGTAACCTGTTATTCTCTTTCTCAGTTTGGTTAGGATTTCTTTTCCAGATTTGTTGTTTTGATTTGTTTTGGGGTTTTGTTAGTTGTGGATAGCCATTTTGGTTTTGAGAATGCCTCTCCTTGTTACACCACAGAAAGGAGCCTTGCTCCTTTGCTTGCCAGAGCAAATCTGGCAAAGCTTTCCATTCAGCTGTTAAAATTGTCCTTTTTTTTTTTTTCCCCTGTGCTGTTAATCACCCTGATGACAAGTCCCACAGGTAGCATCCTCCCTCCAGTAAACAAGTGCAAAAGAGTATGAAATACATCCATCCAGGCACGTTTTGGTGTGCATCAGGATGGGCCAGGAGGCAAATTTATTGGTGGTGCCTAGAGAGACTAATGCTGCTGGGGAAAGCATTTTCAAGGAAATGGTTCCCTGTTTGGGTAATGAGAGCTTATAAAAAGCCATGAACAGCCTGTGCATGTCATTCACTTTGGCAAATAGCTGCAAGATGAGATACTAGAATGAAAGAAATACAGTTTGGGGAAGTTTCGGAGCCAGCTTAGGGCCCTTTGAAGAGAAAAAAATAAAGTTATGTACTCATCCCTGGAGCCTGGTTTTGCCGGTGACATCTCCCTGACTTGGGTCTTGGCAGGATGAAGGAGTGAGGAAATGATGAGAATTCCATAGCTGCTGCCTTTGCTTTTGGAGGGGGCAAAGGTATTTGTTTTCAAAGCACGATTACAATGGACAGGGAGCTTTTTTGCTCCACCTCTGATATTTATGGTCATGCAAAGTGAGACAGTAAAAGACACCTGTTGGAGCAGGTCTAAATTTGGAGCATTTCCTTTTAAGATCTTGTGGGCTGTGTAAGGGTGAGTTCAGCCTTCGTGGGTGTTCTGTCTGCACAGACGCAGGTGCAGGGCTTCTCCTGGAGAATATGTTAATAAATCACCATGACAATTCCAGCTATTTATTACCTCATGTGCTTCAGACAAAAAGGAATACCTCATCTATAAATATATACAGTACTAACATTAGTAACCTTGAAGTAACAATACAGATCTGTTTTTAAGATATTTTAATAAAAAAAGGGGGGTAAGATGGGGGAGTTTTTTCTTCCTTTTCCCCTTGCATCATGAGAGTAAAAATGAATGGTGTAGTATAATTTTAAAAGTCAGCGTTGCCAAGTGGGTAGGTAATGGGAATTCAGGAGTAGCTTTGATACACTTGATTTCCTTTCTGTTGCCTTGGGATATTGCCTTTTTTTTCTGCTGATAATTTGTTTTAAATAAGTGGATCATATATAAACACTGCAACTTCCTTAGTGTTTCTGTTCTCTGAAGCTGCCCTCCTTGGGAAATTGGCATCTCTGAAATACTTTGCCACTCCTATTGTTGTTCTTTTGGGTTTTTTTCTTTTAAAATCTACTTCCATGAGAAAGGCTGGGAATGACGCAGGTATAGGCAGATGCATGTATAAAGCGTCCTAAGCTAGACCATGGGCAGATGTCCTCTTCCAGATCCAGCTGTGCTAGTGAAGGAGGCCATCACCTCCAGCTTGCCCCCAGCTGGATGTATGATCGAATACTTCATAAGCCACATGCGTCAAAATGAGTTGCATTACTTTTGATAGATTAAACAGCAGAACTTTGATAACTTGGTTCTTTTTATTTTGTACATTAGGGAGTAGTCCCCACAAGCTGTGCCAGTGGCAGGGAAGGGAGGAATGCAGTAACCCAACTCAGTAGGGAAATCCTGAGGAGCAACTCAGGGCAGACCAGGGAGCAAAACCTCTTTGCTCGGCTCAGCTGTCTACAGAATGAATATACATGTATTAGCTTTGGTGGTGTTCCCGTGTTGGAAAAATCAGTCATTTCACTGATGTTAGCAAACTTTTGTTATTAAGTTTCCTTTGCATTCAAATGATATTTTGAGAAATGCCATGGAAAGATGTTGGATATATCTTTTTTCTCTAAAATGTGACTTTTATAGAGTGATGCGTAGATCTTCATGTCTTTCCTGTTATTCCAGGTCTGCTCCTTTCATAAATAAAAATAAAATTTTCTGACTAGCATCCAGAAAACAAGTCAGGTTCTTTTTGGCTCCTCATCACAAAAATAGAAATTGTATGTGTTGCTTTAGGTAATAATCCTTTTGCAGATGCATAAGCCAGAAAAGAATC